CGGAATAGTTGCGCACGGAAAGACTGAATGTTAAAGAAGGTACCGCTTCCCACTTCCCTCCCCACAACACATACGCTCATTTGGTCATACATACATCTTTGCCAATGTATGGTGGTTTACACCGGGTATTTTCAGATCAGGTGCTGGTAAATACCAGTTCAAGTGAAACATGCCGAGTCCGGTTAACATTATGTGTGGATTTTAGGATGGCGCCGGTGTCGGGCCGGTATCACTTTTCGAACGTCTGCAATACCTCTCAGTACGGTTTGCGTTAACTCCTGTAACCATGTTTTCAGCCTCCATCCGAGCTGATTCCTGCTCCCGATTCGCGCACGACTGCTGCTGATGATGGCGAAGGGGACGTTGACGAAGGACAACCTGCTGCAAAAAGGATCGCCATGCTAGGTTAGTTAGGACAACATTTTGTTCTATTGTTTTACATTTCTGCCCATCAAAGTATTTTAGACCAAAACAGCTGGGCATTTGATGCAACCATTTTCCTGATATGTGATCACCACCCTTATATGTTCCTGGTAAAATGTAACTTCCCTATCAAATCATGCAGGTGAACCAGCAGCAGAGCGCTACACTCGATATTTCCGGTGATCATTAACAAAACACGTCCCCGCCGGGCTTCAGATGGCCCTTCGGCCGGGCGGAGAAATGGCGGATTTCCGCCCCTTCCCCCATGAACCCTCGGCCCCCATCGATGGCATGGAAAAAAGGCACCTGCGGAAAAGTATGGACGATATAAGGCTAAAGCACGTGTACTTTTTACCCAGGTCAATGTTGAGGTCACCACAGGTCGCGAATACATCAAGATGCATGAGCGGGGTTAAATGAACATATGTCATATTCTGACCGGCAGAAACTGAGGTTAAACGGTAAATATTGAATCTTGAGGCTATGAGGGGTAAAATGAAACAATTTCTAACTCTTTACTTGGGTCAGGTCAAGCATATGATTATTCCAAAATAACTCACATGGACAAGGGTAGCATATTTCCTTTCTTTTTGCTCGTGATCAAACATTTGTGGCTGAATTATATGCATAACTATGTGAGGTAACAAAGCACCAAGGTGAAGAGGTAATAAAACACCGAGTGCCATTTAAGGTGACGCAAGGGTCAAGCTTAAGGTCAAGTGAGGGCGAATTTTCAAATGTTCAGAATTGAAGAATTCAGTGTTTTAACTGGGACATTGTACCAGAATGTTTTCCAGGTAAGAGCACGTCCAGTGATGACTGTGAGAGGTCAAGAGATGCATTTTACTTATTTTGCACTTCGACGACCTCCGGTCCCCAGTGCTACTTGTATTGCCCACGGCATGCATGAGGAAAGTTCTTATGTTCATCTAGCATCTAATTTAGTATCTTAGTTTGCTTTTTTACATTATTTTTACCTACCGCAACGGCCCATTTACGACCAGAAGATATTTCGCGCACACCTGAGGTCAAAGCGGGTCATTGCCCTCGGAAGACCTGTGGTGACCTTTATTTGATCTTCAATGTCATTAAAGGCTATTTTGACCGTGAATTCGAATCCAGCGTCCATTTCTACCTAACAGTCTGACAAACTGCCCATTATGGACGAACAGGCTGTGTTTAACAACATGTACCCATATCGTTGGGTCGTGGGCTTACCTAAGGTCACGGTCCTCTGACGGCATGATGATGGTAAATTTTGGGGCCATACTGTTGATTATATATCAGCAGCAGCAGGCTGCATGAATTTAACAGTGACCTGTTGAAGCTTGAGCGGCTGTATTTTTAGTTTGCATCTCACTGATGTTAGGTGCATTGTAGGACAAGTAAATAACTCACAAAGTTGCGCTTCGTGTCGTTTTACTGTAACCTACCATAACATGCACCTTTTGAATTAATACAGTGTAAAACATATCCCGTTGATCTCAGACTGAAGATAGCGTGCGAAACGCGTAATCATGTTTAGTGACTCGTGTGGTGATAACCCTGGTGTAAATGACCCGCGGTGAGATATTTATGCCCTGAAAACCTGACGCTTATGTAGAATGTATATGAGCGTTGTCGTGCTATCTTATCAGGATGTTTGTCTAAACACGACGCAACACACGATTGGACCTCAAACTCCCTACAAAGGAGGAAACCACTTGCTCAGTATTTGCACTACTGCCACTGTCATGATATCTCCGAAGATAGTATCCCGGTCTTCATCAACAGAAACCAAAAGCTGGTAACTTGATACATGCAGTCAGAAAATGCCCGTCTTACTATCGTTGTGCTCTTTGGTGAGAATGCTCTCGTGTTCGTTGGTCAGTTCTCATCCTTGCAATTTCCCTGCTCCTAGGTTCCACCGGTATACTCAACCCACCTCCTCTGGAACGCTCCTCGCCGCTTCGGCGATCCATCCTACTGTTTCGGAGACGCACCCTGTCACTCCGGCGGAACCGAGCAAGAGCAGTGCGACAGCTGACGAGTGGTACAAAGGAGCCAAACTGAACGTTCAGTGGTTATTGAACGCCTTCGACTGCCTTCTCCAAGAAAACCGGCAGACAAGTGGCAGGGAGCGAGCTGTGCTTGTGTGCACCATCTGCGCAGAGCACGAGGTGGAGGCAGCCAAGGCTTCGGTAAACGGGTGGGTTTACATAGCCAGCGGCGTCAGAGCGGACAGCAAGGAGAAACTAATGGGCGTGGTAGATCACATGCACGGAAAATCTCATGCTGTTACTGCGGATGCGAAAAAAACCTGGACCAGTAGTGGCATAGCGGAAGCTCAAACACCCGTGGATGTTCATCCTCAAGAGAACTGCTGCTGGTGTCACCGAGACGCTTCTGGAGCTCGCCGTTGCTGTTTACAACGATAGCCTGCACGAGACTCTGGCCGCTTGGTCGTGGCCAGCCCACTCCCTCGCAGCACTGCACGAGCAGCGAGTCTGGACAGCTATAAGCGAGGGTGGTTGGGAAGTGGACCTGCAGCCAACAGAGTCACCTCATACAGCTCTTCACTACAGAGATCCGGAATGTACCGGGAGATGCTCAGCGTCGTCGCCAAGTTAGAGCGGGCCAAGATCGACGCCAAGATTGCCACTGAAGTTGTGTACAGCCTACAGGTCGACGTAAGTATGAACCGTCAGCAGCAAGACAACAAATGTGTCACTGCCAGAGTGGTCGATGCTAACGCTGAGCTGCAGAACAACATTCTAAGTGTGGTGGAACCGCAAGGAGATGGCACAAACGTTCTACTAGAGGCGGTCAAAACTGCTGTTGAAGGGCGGGATCTGCCTCTCGACAAGCTGGTTGGCTTGACCACGGACGGGGAGAGCGCCAACACGGGTCGCAGCAGTGGTCTCTGGAAAAGGCCCAATGACGTGCTGGGACGTGACCTGATCAGCATCTGGTGCGTGGGTCACAAGGGTGACCCAGCTCTCGAGAGTGTGGAGAAGACGGTATCGGAGATCCTGCACTGGAAGACGAATCTGTGTGCTGTAATAACGCACTTCCGAACATCGAAGTCCAGGAACAAAAAGCTCCGCGAGAGCAGCGAGAAGGTGGTCACTTTCCCCCAGCACTTCGAGGTCCGTTTCGCCCAGCACCTGCTGTCGTCAATCAACGCTGTCCTGACGAACCTAGCGGCCTGTAGAGAGGTATGGCAGGAGACAGCAGCAAAAGACAGCAAGAAAGAGAAGGCTGAAGCCAAGGGCTTTATCAAGACATGGGCCGCGGGCGGCCGCGCAGTCCGTGTGACGAGCGTCATGCCCGACATCTGCGGAATTTTCTGCCACCTGCAAAAAAATTCCAACGCGGGGACCTCGTGCTACCACATGTGCTGGAGGCCCGCAATGCTGCGCTGCAACTGGAGTTAATGAAAGAGGAGCCTCTGCCTGGTGGACAGGAGGAAAAGTTCGTCCCACCCGCAGACGAACCAGCCGTTTTAGCGCACAACAGCCTCGTTTTGATGAAGAGAACACTTGAAGCTGTGCGTAATGAGATCGTTCAGGCCGCGACGAACTTCCTGAGCGACAGCCTCGATGTCGAGCATGAGCAAGTTTTGCAGGACATGGTCGCTATGATTGAGTCCGGGTCAGCGAAACAGTTCATCGCTTCCGGTCGCAGCTTGGCATCCGGGCTGTTTGGCAGAGGGAGCGTGGCCCAGTTCACAAGAGAAGCCTGTGACCAGTGCCGCAAGATGAGTGAGGCCAGAGACCGGGCATCCTGGCAAGAAAGGTAAGCTGATGGAGATGACGAAAAACGCTAAAGTCGTCTGCAAGCAACTCTTGTCGTCGCTCCTCTGCGCACTCCGACAGCGGCACCCGGGCGGGCCGCTCCGCACTACAACACTGTGCGCAGCAGCCATCGCCGGGGCAGCGTCTGTCAACGGTGTGAACGACGATGTCATCAGTGTCACTTGCTTGGGCACCACGAAGTTGACTGCCCAGCGGGGGGTGGAGTCCTTCCTGGCAAATCAAGACAGGCGCAACCGTCACCGGACCCGGAGAAATAAAGCGCGTGAATTTTCCAAACTTTTCCGCTCCGAGGATCACTGTAGAGTGTATGGGTCACGTTTGGGCACGGTGTCAGCGAACTGTGACATCATAGAAGCTGTTGGTTCCAGTCTGACCATGGCCGCCTGCAATACATGTGAATGGCCTACTTTTGACTTTTCCTTTGAATGTTTCAGCTTTGATGCCACTCTTGGCGTGATTTGCTTCATTACCATTCAATTTTCATGGTTCAAATGCAATTATGCACTGCCTGT